ATTTTAGATATATCATGTAATGAACAATATAAAGCAATGAAAGAGAAAGATTGCACCTGTTGAGATCCTGATGAAAAATAACTCTGGTTTTGGTTGGGACCCTAGCACACATAAATTTACTTGTCTCGACGAAGTGTGGAATGGCATTTTAGAGATTGGTTTATGTCATGTTATTTCATATATATTAATTTGAACATAATATTAATTATTTTCATATATAATGTTTTAGGCCCATCCAAATACTCCAAATCTCAAGGATAAACTGTTTCAGAATTTTGAGGATATACAGATGGTATGCAAAGACCATGGCTCTTCTGGCAGAGGAGATATAGGTTTAGGTCATGATGGCTTGGATGAAGCACGCTTAGAGGAAGTGGTTAGGGAGGGCATACTTGGTGCTGATGCTAAGATGGAATCTCTGGATGGAGGAGATGCTACTGTAGATATGCAACCTGCTACCACCGTTCCCATTGACAGTGTGTCATTTTTTAGTTCTAGAACATCCACTTTGAATAATGGTAAGCGAAGGCGTAAGTCAATTGGTACTGCAGCCACATCATATGCATCTTCCCGGCTATCATTGCAAGAGGTAGGAGAGGGAGTTGTCACTGTAAGTAAAGCATTTCATAAGTTAGTTGATGAGTTGAGGAAGATAAGAAAAGTTTGGAATAAAGAATGGGTTGATGCTGTTATGTCTACTTCTGAATTGACTAAGCCACAAAAATAGAATATACTCAGTAACAATATCCCACAGGACATTAAGCATGCCTTTATTGATATGGATGCAAAAGACCGCTATGAGTTTCTACATTTTAGGTTGACCGATAAGATAATGAATGATGGTAAGGATGGGACTCAAGCCAATTCTGATCCAAATGGTAAATATTATGATTCTGATTTCTTTGGAGATGTTTAGAGGTAGTAATTTAGGAGTTTAGGATATTTCTATGTTTTTTAAGATTTGTTATGGCGTTGGGATTATGTGGAATTTCATATTGTCAAACTATTTTTCATTGAGTAGGTGGAACTTGGGATAATGTCATGTTTTTTTCTTAGATTTGGAAAGTTTTCTTAGGATCGGTTCATTTCAATTTGTCAAAACTATTTATTTTTAGGATATTGCTATGCTTTTGTTTATTTGTTTATGTTATGTTCTTATGTTATTTGACTTGTCAGCTATCTTAGTTTAGTGTATTAATGGATGAAGTTTCTATATGTATCATCCTAACAAATGATTCTTGTATGTTGTGTAGATGAGAGTAGTGCAATATTATGTATTCTTCTATTTTTCAATAGTTTGGTGATTAACGATTAGCCTATAGGTCAACATTTTTTTATTGATTGCTACTTGATGTAGAGAGAACGAACAACCACCAATTTTTACTAATATTTCACTAATACATGTTCATTTACAGTCATTTTTTTTTGATAAAATGAACTATACACATTTAATATATTATCAGTCCCCTTGTGTGCTAATAATAGAGTGCTTTATTTATTTCCTATGCACATAAGTTTCATGTAAATTGATTCTATTTTATTGGTTATATTAATTAATAGGATGGAGGAAGATCAAAATTTGCCCATTTTATATTTTCATCATGAAGACTTCGATGATAATCTTTTGATTCGCATAATCGAATTAGAGATCTAATTACAAAGGTATCAGGACTTCTATCACAGGAGTTCATAGCAAATACGCTTAGTTTCCAAAGTCCTCGATGTGGTATTATAGATCTTGGTCTCACATACTTACAGTCCAAGATGGATACTCATCCATAAGATTTTAGTAGAATTTACCGCATGTACCCAAATTGCTTCATGAAGTTATGCAATATCTTGAGAGAGTGGGGCCATGTACAAGACACATACGACATTAGTGTTGAGGAGATGACTGCTATTTTTCTTCTCACGATTAGTCAGAATCAACGATACTCTGTTGCAACTGATCAATTTGATCATTCAAAATGGACTATCAGCGTATGTTTCAATAAAACATTATATGGTATCTTTAGGATCATGCTTGATGGCATCATCCCCTATTGATCCACCTGATAAGGTTAAATCAGAATATCGCTTTTGGCCTTATTTCAAGGTAATTCTTATTCCTTAAGATTTTACACACATGCAGATGCACACACGTGCACACGTACGTGCGCGCACACACACATCACTTGAGATGGTCTGACACATTGATTATTTAGGACTATATTGGTGCAATAGATGGGACTCATATACCGTGCATGGTGTATAATAGATCAGATGCCCTATCGAAATAGACATGGTTTTCTCTCTCAGAACGTCTTGGCAACTTGCACATTTGATCTCAACTTTATTTATGTCTTAGCTGAGTGGGAGGGCTCTGCTAATGATGCAAGAGTCCTGAAGGATGCGATGAGTAGACCTTATGGACTTCCACTTCCACAGAGTAATAATCTTTACATAGTATTCTATCAATTAAAGAATATTTTTTAGTTTTATAATATTTTTTCATTCATATTTTTATTCTTGTTTGTAGTTAAATTTTATCTAGTTGACTGTGGCTATCCAAATAGGCTACAATTTCTTGCTCCATACCGAGATCAAAGGTACCATCTTTTAGAGTTTGGTCCTGCTAATAATCGACAACGACCACGAAATTCAAAAGAATTGTTCAACCATCAGCATGCGTCTCTTAGAAATTGTGTTGAGTGCATCATTGGAGTTTTTAAGTATAGATTCACTATTTTCAAGCGCTAACCTCCAGGTTTTCCATACGTCACACAAATAAAGATATTTGTTGCATGCGTAAGACTTTATAAGTTTTTAAGATTAGAGAATACAAATAATGACTTTGACATTTCTTATCCTCCACTAGAAGCTCCACAAATTGTTGTTGATGCAGATAATAACTCTGATTAAGAAGATGAGTTATAGACTCAACAGACTCAACGAGCCACTGCAGGAGCTTGGGGAAATTCTATAGCAGAGGCCATATGGGATGATGGAAGTCGAGTCACTCTAGGGATTTAGATTTTTATTTAGTTATAAAATATTTTATTATTTGAGATGAATAGTGATACTTTATTGTATTATATTTTATAGTTATTACTAGACTAATCAATTGCTTATCAATCTTCTATTATTTTTAATATACAATTATTAACAATAGTAATATATATCCACGATTACCCCCCACTAAATTATTATACCAAATTATGCAACTTCATTATCCACCATTATCTTACCAAATTATCCTACTAAATTATTCCACTTCAAGAATTATCCATCATTATTCCACTAAATTATCCCAATGTCAAAAAATTACCCACTGTACTAATTATCCTAGTTTAACTTAAAATGTTCTTGGTGACTAACCACTCCTAATTAAGGTAATCAACATAGGATTGACATATTAGCTTATAATTATATTCTTCAAAACCTATCTCATCCAAATCCTATACCTAATGTATCAGGTAGAGAAAGTATAAGTCAACATTGACAAAAATAATTGAGTTGATGATAACAAACAAATCCAGAGTTAGGATTACAATGGGGGTATTTGCTTATGTGATCATAATCTTAGTAACTCTAAGTTCATGCCAAAAACCACAAAAAAGATTTCATGTTTATTTACTATATGTGCTGATAGATGACCAAGTGTCTGCCAGATAATTGGAAGGAAAGTCGGCATCACAATTGTAGTAAAAAATCATCGATAGTTGAGAACGGGACATAAAATTATGATCAACATCATAAATCAGATTTTAAAATTGAGAAGGGGAAGAAGGGTTTGTCACCTCGTCGATGATATGATGGGACTAAAAAAGTTATTTTTGCATAGATTGCCAATTTGTAGAGGGAGAGGTCGAAGACTTAGCTTATACAGAGATCATCGATTTGCAAAGTGGGAGGTCACCGTCAACGATGTGAAGGGATCGAGGACTTAGGGTTTGTAGAGAGAGTGGTTGTCTTCAACGATGTGAAGGGCCACTGTTACAAAATGAGGCATACTAGACGAAAAATTCTGTTTAGGACAGTTATATTTCCATCTACATAGACTATCACAAACAGAATTCTATCTGGGATGTTTGTCTTATTAGTTGCCATCTAGGATATAGTATCCTAGACAAATTTTCCATCTGGAAAACATCCTAGATAGAATATCCCAGGCTGAAAAAATTTTCATCTAGAAAACATCCTAGACGGACATCCTAGACGAAATTTTTTTCCGTCTGGGATAGTATCTTAGACGGAAATCTGTCTGGGATGCATCCCAGACGGAAAAGTTGTCTGAGATAGCATCCCAGGGCCGTCTGAGATAGCATCCTAGGAGAAAAAGCTTCCCAGGAGATAGCATCCCAGACGATTTTCCATCTTGGATGCATCCCAGACAGCTTTTTCGTCTGGGATGCTTTGGTCATCCCAAATAAAAATTCCATCTAGGATAGTATCCTAAACGGATTATCCCCGTACAATTTTTGCAATTTCTTTTCCTTAATTCCCTATAATTACATAAACATGTAAATTCAATAATAAATCCACATACAATCAAACATGCAAATCCAGTTTTCAAATCAACAATCCAAAATCCAAATATCAGCCCAAATCACATACCATATTACTCAAATCAGTCCGATACAAGCCAACCAATATATACAAACGAATAAACTATCCGCAAAACAACTTATAATCATCCACGCATACCACTTCACAGTATAAACACATCAAACACATGTTTTTTTCATTCATATCATTTCTCTCTCTCTCTCTCTCTCTCTCTCTCTCTCTCTCTCTTACATATAAAATTATACATCCAATTCATAATCAACTCACATGGGATCATTGTCGATACAGCTGATGGTATCAACACGTAGAGAGTCATCCAACCTGTTTAACAAAGATAAGTTTCTTTTTTTTCAGTTAAGAATAGATTGTAATGTAATTCTCTCTCTCTCTCTCTCTCTCTCTCTCTCTCTCTCTCTCTCTCTCTCTCTCTCTCTTACATATAAAATTATACATCCAATTCATAATCAACTCACATGGGATCATTGTCGATACAGCTGATGGTATCAACACGTAGAGAGTCATCCAACCTGTTTAACAAAGATAAGTTTCTTTTTTTTCAGTTAAGAATAGATTGTAATGTAATACAAGTGGGTTTTGAGGGAGGGAAAAGCAGTAATTAACAAATTAGGCATAAAAACTAAAAACAAGAATCATCTCAATTTTTTTCTTTTTTTCCTGAAGATGATATGACAAGGAAGCCTTGTTTATATGCATCATAATAAGTTGCACAGTGCATAATTTATTTATTTTTTCCTCTGAAGTGATGGTAACTTGCAAGTATATTGTATTTTAATGAACATTTTCTCAAGCTGGGTTGCTTTAATTCCGAAGGATCCCTAAAACATATTCGTGCTACCATTATATTACACGATTTGAGGGTTGGGTTATTGGTATGTGTAGGCCTCATGCAGGATTTGAGTGGTCAATGCTATGAAATTGAGCTTGAGCTATGTTGTTGTTGTAATAATATGTACAATATGCAAAGGTTCAAATGCAAGTACCATGTTAGATACTCTTCACTTAATAGACCAATCCTCCTTTCTTATGATGCACTTGTTTCTGGTTGAGAAATGTGGATATCGAGGGAAATTTGAATGGATAATTTTGATCTATGTCAATATTTTCAGACATTTAAACTACAAGGAAATAGTTACTAAAACTTGATATAATCAACAACCAGATCGACGAACCATCAGTGGTTACTATGAATGTAAGCCATTTCAAAATCCTGGGTAAGACTCTCTTTCTTACATAAGACCTTAGATTCCATATGGTATATTTCTTTAACAGAACATAATTTATGAAGGTTTTTTGAATTTTATTCACTTTAAATATATATATTTTTAATAATATTGAAAGTTGGAGGTTTACCAGATGGTGGAGTTCAAGACGACATGTCAGTAACAATTGAGTCGAATAAAGTAATTAGCAAACTAATTAAATTGTAAAATACATTTCATATGCATTTGTACTCAACGAAAAATTATTTATTTCGAGTTAATACATATTGTTACTCTGCAGGAACTTGAAAAAGAATGCTTGCAATTGTGCATAGAGCAGAAAATAGCATATGATAACATCTTTGGTACCAAGCAAGAAATCTAAAAGTTCAAATTCTGATACATGCAATTTGGTGAACTATTATACCCATAGCTCAATCTGCACCCAGAAAATATAAGGAAAATACTTCGATGAATTTGTAAAACAAAGTACAAGGTGAACTTGTGTTCTTGTTTGTCATCACACTTGTTATGAGATTTTCAAATCCGAGCCCTTTGATAATTGACAAATTAGCAAAACAACGTAGAAGATGGAGAATATGGCTTCTTACGTGTAGTTACAAATAGTTTGATTTCCATATGTAGAATGAGTTACCTTCTGTCAATGAGTTCTTGTCATATCAAGGTGTATAGATTTGGTTAAATGAGATTAAATGAGATAATTAGTATTAGTGGACTGCAAGAGTGAGAAGAAATGTTAACTCATGCTCCACAAAGGGGTAACATTTTAAAGGAACGAATTAAAGTAATAGATATACAAATCACTAACTTACTACAGAAAATCACGAGTCATCGTCGTCGTCGTCAATATCCCTCCTCTGCACACCACTACTGCTTCCTCCAGCAAGTCCAACCTGAAAATAAATAGATTTAATTTTAGAGTATGAAATTTAGCAATAGAACACATATATTATCAATATACCTGTGCACTAGTGTCTAAATCTATAAGAGCCAAAACTTCTCTAAATAATTCAGCTGGAATCTTATCAGACAAGCATAATATGATGTGTGTAAAAACATCATCGCTAGTGGTGGATGGTGGCAAATCTGAAAACATATCCTTCATCAGTTGCATTAGTAATGTAGAGTCGGTCTTAACACGCAGATAACATGAGACGCGTAGAATTACAGAAGTGGTAGGACTCCTTGTTGAGGATCCTGTCGCAGTTGAGGTTGGTGAGGATGCCATGGAGGATATTCTGGAGGTACCCCGCATAGCTCCAACCCCCATCAATGGAAATCTGCCCCGATTATTATATCCTATAACATTCATAGCAATGGTGTCATTTTCCTCTCTAGATAGGAAATGAGGGTCATCAGCAGCATCTTGAGTAGCACGTAGTGCTTCCTCCTTTGATGCAGCATCAATATTATCCTAAATCACATAAGGAAAAGACATGTAATTGATTGGCAAATAATAAAATGAACATCAACAGAATACTTATTATCTAATGAACTATTGAAAAATTTACCGCCAACACCATGTTTTCCTTAATCTTGACTTCACCTTTATAAGTCGAGCGAAAGGTACCGTAAGCTAACTTTGCCTTCAAATTGATCGGCATTATTGGCTTCTCCTGCAAATTATAATAAACTAAAAGAGTTTGGTCATATGGATAAATGTACCATGTGAATACCAAACTTTAAATATTATATCATGTCTCGACAATAACCATAGTCAAGATTGGCAAACGACGTCGATCCCAAGTGGTGGTCAAGCATGTGCTTGCTATGTCAATTCGTCGAACCCTTCTTAGATTTATTCTACCAAAAAAAAATTATTACTAAAGATGAAATGCATCTGTAATCTTTGTTAGTAAGCAAAATGAAAATGATGAATACCTATGCTGACTCGGTATCCCAATAGAAAAGAAGAGCCGTGAAATGATCGAGGTCTACTCTATCATCGACATTGTGACGCCCCTGTTTTCACTCATGGCTGCAGTCCAAGGTGAACCCAGAGATGTCAAACCTACCATACACCTACATTGTGTAACAACAAGTTTCACCAATCACAGTAATATCCTCTATTGGGGTCAAATAAAAGCGTAGGTACAAAACAGGCAAAGAAGCAGAACGACAATAATAGACATGATAAAGAGGATGATATCTCATAAATAAAGGTCATGTCTCAACTGAAAATAAACTGAAATACATTTGGAGTCTGCAATAACATACGATGTCTCAACATGAACCAAAACTGAAAGTCGAGCTAAGGCTCATTGCCTTTACAAAATGAAAATAAACTCTAAGTTTGAATAAAATTTAAAACTACAGTGGAGCCTCTAATAAATCTCTCGGGACGGCGACTATGCAAGAACTCCGTCATCCTGCGGCTCTCCGGAACTCCGAGCTACCTGAAAGGGTATTTTTAAAAGAAAAAGAAACAACGACAAGAGCGTCAAAGCGCTACAGCAAGATTACCTCCATCCTCCCCCAGGGAAAGGGCTACTAGGTGGAGTGAATGTTCTATCTATTAAGCATAGTCTACCTAGATTCATTTTCCCAGTATCTAAGTAGGATTAACATTTAGAAACCTACAATACGAGACGTAGTACGTCGAGCAAAATAATCCAAACAAGGAAACCCTCATGTATATACCATAAGTCTCAAATTGTAGATATCTAAATATTAATACCGAACTAAGAAAAGACAATCTAATAAAACCAACAATTAGAAATCCATAACACGAGACTGGTACGTCGAGCGAAATAATCCAAACAAGGAAACCCTCATGTATATACCATAAGTCTCAAATTGTGAATCTCTAATCATTGATCCCAACTAAGAAGTAAAAAGACAGTAAAAGAAATAAGATATCAACACATTGTATTTATAATATCTTCCACTATCACTGGAGAGATAAAACAAAATACTAACACATAATTTGTGTATACTTTCAAAAGTAACATATCTTAGCCATATAGTTCAATGGTAGGTCGTATTCATAATCGGCATCTATCATACTTAGGCTATCAAGTAATTGTCTCAGTACAACGGACTACCCTGTAGGTATACTGAACTGTGTACACGGCTCATTAGTCTCATCGCGATCTCAGTGCGTAACATGAGTGCGGGACGGACTATCAAATAGGCATCCTAGAAATACGGCTCACGAGCCTCATCGTACCCTAGTGTGGGACGGACGGCTAAATCAAACCTCCTAAAATCCAACTCAATGGCCTGTACATATGGAATATCGACGCACTACCTCATGTAGTACTGAACTGAGCTCATCAACGATATCCACCTCATATAAATCTTTGTATCTCAGGTATGTCGCCGCACTATCCCATATAGTACTAATCCATGCTCATTAACAACATTCAGCTCATGTATAAACCATGTATATTTGGTATGTCGACGCACTATCCCATATAGTACTGAGCTGTGCTCATCAACGACATCCAACATGTATATGAACTATATCTAATTCAAATATGATTAAATAAAAATTCATCATAATCCTCTTGAGATTCTTAAATATATAACATAACATATTCATGACTATACATATAACATCAAGCGGCTCAAAACTCCGCGAACACACCTCAAAACGGCGCAACATAGCTCCCCAAAACGAGCAGGAAAAACAGACGTGATATCTATTAGTAAAACAAGCATATCTTTCTCTAGAAAAACTAATTTTACAAATGGTTTTCTGTTTTGAAAACTAGATTCACACATGTTTCAAATGACATAAGTTTGGTTCACTTTGGAGTTCATTTGTTATCTCAAAACTCCAGTTAAACATTATATATGTGCATCCATTTTTCTGCAGGACATGTTGTTAGTAAATATAACATATCTTTCTCTATACAAACTCTTTTTAAGAATGATTTTCTGTTTTGAAACCTAGATTCACACATATTTCAAATGACAAAAGTTTGCTTCAGTTTGGAGTTCATTTGTTATCCCAAATCTCCAGTTAAACATTATATATGTGCATCCGTTTTTCTGCAGGACATGTTATTAGTAAATATGACATATCTTTCTCTATACGAACTCTTTTTAAGAATGGATTTCTGTTTGAAACCTAGATTCACACATATTTCAAATGACAAAAGTTTGGTTCAGTTTGGAGTTCATTTTTTATCCCAAATCTCTAGTTAAACATTATATATATGCAGCCATTTTTCTACAGGATATGTTGTTAGTAAAAAGATCATATCTTTCTCTATACAAATGATTTTTAAGATTAGTCTTCTGTTTTAGAAACTAGATATATATATCTTTCATTTGGAACTAGATTGGTTAAATTTAGAGTTTATTTTCTATTTTGAAATTTTAGTTAAACATGATACAATTGCTGCAGTTTTCTGCAGAAAATATTTATTTAGTACATCTCTTAAATTTCTCATATATAAATAAAATTATGAAAAATTTTAATGATCATGATCATGATACTATCATAAACAGCAAGAAAAAAATTACTTATCTAGCATTGGTTTATGTTTTAACATCAAAATTTTAACTTTTATCACATCATGTTAAGATTCAAGCATGAAAACACATATTCAACATCATATTAAATATCTAACTAGTTATTTAACTATGGGGAAGGGTTTGGATGAAAATAATCTTACCTTAGACGTCGTTCTAAGCTTCTAAAATAACCAGTAACAAAAAAGAAGTACAACTAATCCATTTTCCCCTTGCTACACGTTGATGATCTCGCCCTCGTGTCGATATTTGCTTCACAAAGCTCTCAAAATTCTTAACTTTAGGGCTTGGGATTCAGAGAGAGGAAGAAGTGCTGCTAGGGTTTGAAAATCTGATGTAAGGATATTAATTTTCATAAAAACACATGTTTATATATATGCAAACCCGAAATAAACCCGTTTGACCCGAACCAGGAATCCTAATCTGACTAGGAAAATAATCTTCGGTATTTTGGTCATAACTTTCACGTCTGACCTCGGAATGAGGTGATCTAAGACTTGTTGGAAATATCTTGAAGATACCTACAACTTTTGTCTTTTAAGTTTTTCCAAATTCTAGATACATCTGTGAGAAAAATAAAAAATATCTTCGCTAGTCATAAATTTCCAGATTTATACATCGAGCATGAATTGTGCATTTGCTCTTATATATATACATATATACATTGAATTGATCTCAAACCAATTCCTAGTATACTTAAACATCATAATATGTTATTTATAAATATATAACATATTTATTATTATTTATCATAAAATATTCAAATTTTTGGGGTTTTACAGACATTTAAAAATCTCTGCCAATATGCTGTATATTTATCATATGTTGATATCTTCAGCTCATGCCGCTATTGTTTGAGCACTGACTCAACCTTTATGTTGAAAACATAGTGTCATGCTCCAGGGTAATCCTCAAGACAATAGTATTCCTACAATTTTGCATATAGATATGTAAGATATGTATGGGATTGTTAGAACACCCCTAAATCAAAATAGACAACTTATGCTACATAGATGCACTGGTTTTTGCATGTTTAGACATATTGTCAGAAACTATATTGTCAACAATAATAAACAAGGTCTTAGAGCTGTCGACATTAGCAGTTAACTAGTAGAATGGAGCTGGGAAACCAAAAAAAAGTGCATCAGATAGCTGAACAATCAGGCTAAACTATTTTACGATGAACCGAACATCAACACAGCAAGTTCTCATGCCTCGTCAAGAATTTCAATGGGATGGGAACAAAGCCACAACAAGCTCACATCCTTCTGCTGGAAATCAGGAGTCTCAATCTCCTGCTGCATCCAAGAAGCTTGAGTTGGATCTATTTTCCATGTCAAAACCGTCCACATAGTTTATAGAGGGTAAAAAGTTAAAAACATATAATTTAAGCTTACTTTGCATCTATGTTGTCAAAGTAATTGGACATATTCTCAATAAAAGACGTAGTTAAAAACAAAGAATCGGTTTTTCTGTTCTGTGTTTTGATCAAATATCAGCTCACATAGTTAGATATATGCATAAATCATACGGCTGAGACTATTTTAGCCTAGATTGATGTGTTCGATGCAGATTTTCCTAATTCAGAGAAGTAATTGTAGGTTATGTGGAGTTGAACATATACGGTAGTTCTGATGTGAGAGTTTTTTTTGTTGATACAGTTTTCGTATCATACTGACTATGTAAATTTGATATAGTGGTTGGTTTCATACCAAATATGTGTGTGTGTACGTGCGCATGCTCGTATCCGTGTTTCTCCCATCTTTGTTCC